TGATTAAACGTGTAAAAATTTACGATTATTTTGCCACTCTAAGTCATTTCTAATCTTGTAAGCTAAGTCTTAGATATAATTAAAATTTTTAAGTCTGATTTAGAGTTAAATGTAAAGCAGATGGATAAAAACAGGAAACGGAAGAAAAGAACGCATACGTGCATATATAGTAGTTACGTTGTTACTGATCCTTCTTTTAATCAGGGATATATTGCTATAATATAACGTGATATAGTTTGACGTAGGGTCAGATAGATTCACAAGCAGGCGCAATTTACGTTATTTGGCGCCTGTGATAAATCTGGCAATGGTTACGTTTAGCAGAGAAAACTGATCAATGATTCTTTAATATGATTGATTTCTACACTTAGAAGAACTAGCGAACTAAAGGCATAAATAAGTTACATTAAAAAATTACTGAGCGTTCACTGATAGATTTTCTTTCTTGAACGTGGTCAATGAGTCCAGGGCCAATCTAAAAAAATTTTAATGTTTAATTGCTTCTTTAATCTTTTTCTTATAGATTGACATTTATTATAGCATGGCTATAAATATCGCATATAATAAATAATTTAATTAATTGCAACAAACATTAACAAATGTTGAGAATCGACCCTTAAAATATTTTACATATTTCCAATTAAATTTAAACGAATCTCTTAACACTGCCTACGTAGAGCCATTGAACGTATTGCTCAATTAATTCTTCCATTGTGTTATGTCCATGTATAGACACACCTGTTGAACACTTCTTTCTATTTCAAATGTTATCGTATTCGACAATAAGGAAATATCAACAAAGATTATTATTATATATTTTTTTCTTCCTACATTAAGCCTCTGGCTTGTGTTACACCTCTTTTATATGCTTGTAATGCGCATGTTGGTTATTCAGTTGCCATAAGCATATTTTTTTCGAGTTATGAAATTATAATATACAAAATAGCACATTAAAATATGTTGAAACTTTTTAGATCATTATAATTTATTTTATTCTGTATGAAAGTGAAATTGACTACTTTTTTATGATTATTATTTATTATTTATTAAGTAGCTAAATTGCTGTTAAAATCAATTATTATGTGTATCTATACGGAAATTTAAAATGAGATAGACCTCGATAAATTGATTTAATTACACAACAATCAATTAAAATATTACGTACATATTATGCATGTTATGTAAATCATGTGTAAATCATAATAACATAATTATGTATGTGGTGCTATATAAATCCATTTAATAATTAAAAAATTTTTTATATTTTGGCTAAAAAATTCCTTATTGACGAAAATGATACAAATATTCATATATTCAATTAAAATAAGATGTATAGTATTGAATAATTTGTCTTATTTGTATAGTATTTGTATATACGACAAAGAGATATCTTCTACATATATCTTCTTAATGCTAATATACTTTGAAGCACAAAGAATTATAAGTTTGCGACATATAAAGTGTCGTCTTTATTATTATTATGACAATTTTAAACTAGATTTTTGGGAACGAAAAAGACATTTAAAATACACTTTAGAAGCGTAATTATTTTCTACTTTTACTTTAAAAGCAAAAATTGATCTGTTAATTGCCAGTAGGCGTGTGTTAAATTTTGTGATATTAAGAAAGCTGCCTCCATAAGAAACATTCATTGAAACGTTTCTTTCAAAGGGGTATACGTAAAGTAAGTAGAAATCATCAAGGAAAACTATCATTATTTTTGCTATACTTTGACATATTTACATTCTCTTCCATTTGAGACTAATAACAATTTATCGATCAAAATATTATTATATACAGAAATAAAAGTTAGGAAATTCAGATTAATTTCGTTGAATATTTTTTGAAATCATTTCAAAGTAAAGAAATTTGTGAATGGCCTTTTTGGTTATTAGGTATAAACAATTGCGATTCTTATTTCATGAAATAACGCAATTTTTCGAATATATCATGTATATTTTTATGTTACTTATCTTTAAAACAGTAAAGCATATATATTTCACAGTTGTATGATAATATATTGTTAAATATTATTTAAATCAATTATTCTCGAAATTTTCACGCTTATGAAAATTGTCCGTATTTAGAACGCGTTTTTATTGATAAAAGCGCGCTTTTATCTTTGAAATTTTATAGTATGCATAACGTAAACTATAGCATGTTAGAGTGCTAACATCGTTGTAAGCGCGTTCTGAATTCGGGTCTGTATATGTAAATCTAAATAGAGGGATATGGTGAAGTGTATATATAGGTCCTAATTATGTAGATATAAAAGAGAGCCTATCTATTTGTACATAACGACACGAGTAAATGAGATGAGACCTATACTCAGGTTTAAGTAGATAGATAAATTCTATATCCATATAATACCTTCTCTTTGTGTGCGCGTGCATACGTATGTATGCGAAGAGAAACATGAAAGGGCGACGCTGAGATACGAACGATTCGTTCATATTTTGTATAGATATTAAACAGATACCTCTTCCGTTTATCCGACTATATTTGGTGGTGCATAGCTAATTATATTATTGAAATTGCTTCTTGTAAGCGTTATGCGTATGGGTAATCGAGATTAATGGTTGTATTTAGCAGAATGTTTATTTTACCATTGTTGGAAGTTTCCTTCACTAAAACAGAACTAGGCTGTATTCATAATCAATTTTTATATTCAAGATGGTCTTAAGGTGTCACGAACCAATCAGAGGCCGCATTAGCATTTTAAAATATAACTTAAGACTGTCTTGAAATAAGAACCGACTAAATACTAGCCATGAAGTTAAAAGTATAGTTAAAATTAGGCGCGAAGAGAGAGAGAGAGAGAGAGAGAGAGAGAGAGAGAGAGAGAGAGAGAGAGAGAGAGA